CTGAGACACATCCTGGATTTGAACCAACTCAATGGTACCTGGAAGGAAAAACAAAAAAACACCCCACAGCGATGAGCGAACGAATAGCCGTTGTTTCCAGCCTCCAGGCGTGTGGTCTTCAGCTCCAGCCACACAAGGGCACTACTGCAGTGCTTTCCCTCAACTTCCCATGCCTTCATGCATGCAGCACTCTCACCATACTAGCTGAGAAGCCAGTCAAGAAAAGATGGATAAGATGTGCACACGCATACACACATGTAGTCAGAGAGAGAGAGTGAGAGAAATGTTATAGACAGGAAAGCATTTGTGGTATATATACCAGAGACTTACAGTCTAGAATGCATAAATAGCTACAAATCAGTAAGAAAAAACAAGGAAAGATGAACAGGAAATGCATAAAAGAAGAAAGCAGAATAGGAAACATTCCTGGGGAATAGCACATTGTCCATGCACGCAACATTGGATCCGCATCCCTTATTCTCCCTGCCCCGTGGGTCTCTGAAGGTTGAGGAATCGATGGGAGATGAGGCACTTGAGAAAGGCGACGCAGCACCCTCTGCCTTGCAGCTCCTCTGGGAATGACAGCAATGGGGCAGCAGCTGGCAGGAGCCCCTTTACAAAGGGGGAGTCATGAGTAAGGAGGTCAAGGGCCAGACCCAAGCTGAGAAGCAGCAGCATTTCACAGGCACCTGAAAGAGAGGGTTCTGCACACGGATGAGGCTCTCGGTTTTTCAGAGGCAGGCGCACAGAAATGTGGGTGGGGATAGTTCATAATTACTTATAAGGGGACAAGTAGTAAATTGAGGGAGTCTTAACTGCTGATCTCTATTTGCTGAGAGGGTGAGAAAGAGATTAGAAATAATGGTACTGCTTCGGGTGAGAAAAATGGGGAAAAACACTAGTCTGCTCTGTTTTGTTTTACACTAGAGTGCAGGCTTATATTTGATCAAATCCATCATCCATCCCTACTCGGACCACTTCCTTCCTAAAATTATGATGACACTAAGCTGGAAAGACCATCACTTCCTGGTATTCAGATTGTTCACCCACTGCCTCTGAGGTGATTGCAGGTCATGTGTCAGAGCAGATCTGTGCACCAAAGGGTCTTCACTGATAATGGCTTTTCAGAAGCGGTTTGCCAGACCTTTCTTCTGAAGTACTTCTGAGTAGACTTGAACCTCTGACCTTTCAGCCAGGAGTCAAATGGATATACCATTTGTATCACCTTGCAGTCTTCAGCTTGTACACAGTCAATGTACTAAAGTCTCAAAACTGCTTCTGCTTGTAGCCATGCTTATGCAAAAGATTAACTTTTAAAGTGTTGGAAATTAGATCATCGAGTGAAGTAATTATTCTTGAATTTCTTTCATTGTTTAGGGGTGAACCAATAAGGTTTTCAAATTACAATAAATAACCTTTTGTGTTAGACAGGGCTCACTAGAGAAACAAAACCAGAACACTAATGATTTTATATATATTTATACAGATAGATATATAACATAAGAAATAAACGGTTAATTAAATTATAAAGCAGTACAAATGGCTCAGTGCAACTCACTCCCGTGAGACAGTTGTGAGACACTGGCAGTCCTTCAAGGCTTGAGGGCCACCGGGTAGTCCTCTGTAAAGCAATTCAGGCTGTCCGGGCACAGGCAGCAAACAGCAAGGCAGGTCACCAACAGTCAGCCAGATGACAGGGTCTGACAGTCCCCAGCTCAAGAGATGTAAAATCCAATGGTGTGGCAAGACTTGAAGGAACCTCAGATTTTAGCAACACAGTCCAGGGGTTAGGTGTCCCACAGGTAGTGTAGCTTGCAAATTGAGGCAAAGAACAAGCAAGGCAGCCGCACACTCGTCTGATCATCAAAGAGCAAGAGACAAAAAAGGCGAAGCTCGCTGAACCATTTATCTCTCCGCCCTTCAATTAATCCCACATGTGTTCATTAGCCAGGTTGGCACAATAAACTAACTACCTCACATTTCAAACAAAGAAATGTATATTTCTATGCTTTAATAGTTCATATTTCTCCATCATTTGGAAGTTAGGTCTAGGGATTTACAACTACAACTAGTAGATTCCTCAACTACCTGTATTATGCTATTGAGGACCCAGCACATGGGGTTGAGTACATTTGAGGTTCAAGGTGTTATGTCTGTTGAATTGGGGAGAGGAAAGGATTGCACAAGCTATTGACCATAGAAATGTTGTATAATACTTGTACATAAAACAGCATCATTCCAAGTAATTTCAATCTCCAGTAGTCTTCACTTTTTCCGCAGGCTTGGAGGAGGATATATGATCTCCAAATAGGTATGTTTTCCCATCACAACTGACCTTCAGGTTTGCTTAAAGCAATACTGCTGCGCCTGCTGCCTCACCTTTGTTTAATGAGAGCCATTTCCTGACGCCAACTTTGGGTTAATGGACTGAGATGGGAGAAAATCAAACGTAGCTCTCCGTTTTACACCAGATTGCCTTTCTGCCTTGTGGCTTTAATCACTCAATCCTACTCACATCTGCCATAATAACAATTATGGGTTTTCTACTGCTTTCTCACCCAGGAGGATATGTCAGAGGATAGCAACAGCTCCTGAAGAAAGGAAGGGCACATTCTTAATCTCTTTTCAGCATCATAGGTAATCATTTCCTCTGCAAACCCCCCAAGGAACATTTCTTTTGGCTCTCACACCCACCAGTCCCACAGGATCGTAGCTCTACTCTGATTTATGCGTTTTCTTCTATCTTCTCTCTTGCTAGCTAAGTTTTAATTATGTAGACAGATTGTAAAAGTCGCTTTCTTCTTGTAAACAACTATTTCTTTGTTAGCAGTAGATTTTGTTTAACCGGTTCCCTCCTATCTGAGGCTTCCTATGTAGCCAGGAATTGTGTTTCTTCCTAGGATAAGGGCAGGAGGAAGCGAAGAGAAAGCTGGTTTCTTTTCCTAGCGCTCCTTAGGGATTCAATCTTGGAACACCTCAAATATCAGATCTCCCTCGGGAACTGTCCTTTGCTATATATGTTTTGGAAGCCAATAATATTTTAGTTTGGATTTAATAGAAGAGCAACATACCATCCTAAAACAAACCAACCACCAAACTAGTTCCTGCTGGGTTGATTCTGACTGAGGGTGGTCCCGTGTAGTCTTTAAGGTTTTGAATGGCTGCGGCATTTTGAAAGTAGATCAATGGGACTTTTTCCCAAGGCACTCATGGGAAGATGTGAGTCACCAGTCTTTTCATCAGTCGCCATGTGCCTAACCATTTGTACCACCCAGGGATGGGATGGTAGTCAGTCCTCGTTCTTATGAAAACATTTCCAAAATGCTAGCAGAGTCCAGGGCATGCATGAAATTGTGTAAAACACCAGTGTAATCCTAGCACTTGCCCCTCACTCCAGGGACTCAGAAACATGGAATTCGAAGAAGTTACAGTACCTCAGGTAGTCTTGGAAATCCGCTCCTCTTACCCGAGTCCCTTCTGGGATATAATTAAAAGATGTCTCAGGGAAAAAAAGTACAATGTGACTTTTGTTTCATTGATGTGATAAACTTTTAGCTATGTGAGATTTAGAAAAACTCAGGTGGCCACTCTAATTACTTTAATACGTTCATTTCTAATTATGTCCTCACAGGTGACCTTTGAAGCCCAGCATTTGAGGAAAATAGGTCTGTAAGAGAAGCTAAATATTATACTTTATCCAGGTAGCATTTTTCCATGGCAATTTAAAAATTTTAACTGGCACCTCACCAAACTCCCTATTTATAAAGGCTAGATCAATATTCTCCCAGCATTCTTTGGAGCCTATTATGGGAGAAGTAAAGATCACTTTTGGACACTGAGCATATGTGATATCCTAATATTCAGGAAACGAATATTCAGGTCACACCGAAAAAGGAGCTGTAGTCTGTGACCACAGACAGAGTCTTGGTCCCTGCCAGCATGAGGGGCCCGCTGATGGCCTCATTGACTGGGGTGTGAGCTCACTGAGCTCCCGGCATGAGAACCATGAACTTCCCCACAGTTCACTGTCTGCAAAATTTTTGATGGGTTCATATTTTTCTGAAGAAAGGCTTTACATTTTCATCAGATTCTCAAAAGTGGACACAACTTAAAAAAGAAAAGGATTGTGCTTATGACATGAAATGAGATTGTTCTGAAACAAAGTAATTTGAGTAATTCTTTAAGTTAAGGAATTTTCCTGGGAATCTGGGAAAGATTTCACTCATTCCATATTATTGTGGAATAGGCCCTTGAACTCCAACTTTTTTTATTACTTATTCTCATCTACTTTTGAATGGTTTTAAGTTGGACAAAGCTGCTAGTTTTACATGAGAGGGCAATGATAGATGAGATCCACTGTTTTTGAAGGTTATGTATTTTTAAGGAGTGAAATGATTTCCACTACCTTGTATAAACTTTTTGAAAAAATCCATTTCTTATGTATTCTGTTAGATTTTTTTCTCTTGTTTTTAGGTAACGCTCATCTTCCTTTTTTCCCCCCTCATCATATAAAAAGGTTTAAGCCTGGTCATCTTATACCTAATTAAATGTTAAAATGTTAGTGATTAACAATAAGATAATTAGTGCCTTATTGCATGCCAATGACGTGATTTCAACAGCCCATGTGACAGAGCAGAACTTTCCCCAGCGTGTTTTCTTCCTTGTAACCTTTGCAGAAGCAGATAGCACAGCCCTTATCTTGGGAAGCTCTTGGGTGAGTTCAAGCCACTAACCTTTGGGTAAGCAACCAAGAACCAAGTGCTTATCCATGTGCACCCCCAGAACTTCTGAATGAATCAGTTAGATGGGACTTCTTAGGGGGAAGAGTGACAGTCTAGGGGTATTTTCTACCATTACCTTGACTTCAGCATCTTACAGTGCGTGTACCTCGTTAGCCTGATAGCTTGCCTGCATGTTTATATTATGTACTTGGGAAGAAACGGCATCAGACTGGGACAATGTGGACTTATGTTTTTCATTCTAGGTGTCTCTGGAATGGACACATGAGCAAATAAGACAGAAGTGAAACTTTAGGGAAAGTAGACCATGCGGTCTTCAGAAATGGGAAGAAATGCAGCCATCTGAAATGGTCATGAACCCCAAACAACTCTTCCTCTCGGTGCTGATATTTGGAGTGGCTGGGCTGCTCCTCTTCATGTACTTGCAAGTCTGTATTGAGGAACAACATCCAGGTAACGCAAGGACATTTTCTCCCACTTTAATTAAAATAGCAACAATAGCTTTTGATTTAATACGGTGTGATGTTTGAAAATGTATAGAAAGTAACAGTATGCGTGACACAAATATAAAACACCAGCTAAAACCCCTACCTCCTAAAGAAATGAAAAACATGCAACTCTTGTGGGAATTTGCTTGGTTGGCTTGGGGCAACATTTGGAACTTTTGCTTTGGGGGAAGGGAACAACACTTAACAATAAGCCCAGTAAGGACTTCTTGTAGAAAATGTATCTACTCAAATGGGTTGTGTTATCCTACTTCTGGTAGCTTCAGAAAGCATCAAGCACAAACCAAAAAGAGATGATTATTCAGCAACATCTGCCTTTAGATTCCTTTTTAATTTTGTATGACACTCAGAATTGGTGTGGACATTTTTCACATCTATACCATAGATGTTATACTATAGAGCCACCAACAAGTGGCCTTCAAATGGACTCAGACTCATGGCAACCCCATCTCTGTTGGTAGAACTGTAGTCCATAGGGGGTTTTTGAGGCAGTTATTGTTTGGTTGTTTTGTAAGTATTTCATCAGACTTTTGGCAGAGGTACTTCTGGGATTAGCTTCTGAGCATGTGAACTCTTGATATCACCAAAGGTCTCCAACTAAGCGTGGACCAGCAAACTTCTTCTATTCAGGTCTAGACAGTAAATATTCTAGGCCATACCATTTCTCTTGCATCCAATCAACTCTACCAATGGGTAGCACAAAAGCAGCCCCGGATTGTGCATCACCAAATAGTGTGGTCTAGTACAAGGGTATTCACAAAAACACTTGGTGGGCTGGACTTGGCTTGCAAGCAATCATTTGCCCATCTTTGCAATGGAGGACTGCCTATCCTATACTCTCATCAATAATTTTGTATTTGCTAAACATTGGAGGTGCTCAATTATGATTAACTGGATTATATTTGTTATGATATGATTATTGAAGAAAATACTTTAGCGCATCATGAAAATATAAAATATAGGGAAGTGACATTCAGTCACTTCTCATTGGTAGGAATAGATTATTGTTTAGGACTTGACCTAAGGAAACAAACGTGAAAATGGAGGAAGAATGTTGTCATGCCTGTCTTCAATTGTGGACTATTTTAAAATCATTTTTGATACAAAGCTTATAAATACCTGCTGTAAAAGATTATTCTGTTTTATTTTTTAAATGATTTTCTTTGGTTTATTTACAATGACTTTTGAGCTTATTAATTTACATAGTAACCCTTTTGAAAATATGTTACATTTCATTATTTTATAGATCATGTAACATATTGTTAAAATGCATTCTTAAATATCATTACAGTTTATAATTTACATAAAATATGATATACTATTTTTATATTATTGAAATATAATTTATTATAACAATTTGTAATATGCAACCGTAAATTGGTTCTCTTTGGCCATGAATACAATATTGTCTCTTTACAAGTTGTCATTCCCTACACAGTATATCATATGATTATTTGCTTCAATATGCCCAATACCAGTTTATTTGCACTCACTAATGCCCAGGATATCTCTCTTCAAGTGTTCTATTTCATTTTTGAAACTTTTGATGTTTTGTGTTCATACTTTGTACTTGTGAACTTTGCATGTATGTGTGTATGTACTTCACAATCTGATCATTAATGAACATTTGCAGACATTTCTCATTGTGAGCTATGCCATGCCAGCAAAGGAAGGTTCTGAAAGCTTTATTCCATTCAGGTCATTTGAGGAGGTAGTATTTCTCCAATTGTATTTTGAGTTCTTTCCAACTTGAGAAGTTCATCTTCTGGCACTATATCAGACAGTATTCTACTACTGTTTATATGATTGTTAACTAGCCATAATATTTTTAGAAGTGGATTTAAAAGAACAAAGAAAACTTCTTCTTAGGTGACACCAATACTATACAAACTATTCCAGAACATAGAAAAAGACCCAAAACTCATGTGTGATGCCAGCATAACACTGATACCCAAACTAGACAAAGACTCACAAAGACAGAAAATTATAGACCAATATCTCTCATGAACATAGACACTAAAATCCTCAACAAAATTCTGCCTAAAAGAATCCCACAGCGTATCAAAAATTAATTCACCATGACTAAGTGGGATTCATTCCAGGAGTGCAGGGATGGTTCAACATTTGAAAAATAATCAGTGTAATCCACCACATGAACAAGGAAAAGAATAAAAACCATATGATCATATCAATAGTTGAATAAAAGGCATAAAACACTCATCAAAATAGGAATAGAAGGGTAATTCTTCAACCTAATAAAATCCATATACAAAAAACCAACAGCCAACATCATGGTCAATGGGATAATCTAGAAACATTTCTACTGAAAATTGAGATGAGACGAGGCTGTCCACTGTCACGACTCTTACTCAACATCATGCTAGAAGTCTTAGCTAGAGCCATCAGACCACAGAAATAAATCAAGGGACTGCAAATAGGAAAATAAGAAGTGAAACCACACAAAAGGTGAAATACTAAGGAATAAAACTAACTAAAGAAACAAAAGATCTATACAGAGAAAACTAAAGAACATGACTACAAGAAACCAAAAAGGGCCTACATAAATGGAAGAAGATCTCATGGTCATGGATAGGCATACTTAATATTGTGAAAATATCAATACTACCTGAAACAATCTACAGATACAATGTAATCCCAATCCAAATCCCAAATGCATTTTTTAAAGAAATGGAAAAATTAATTACCAATTTCATATGGGTAGGCAAAAGAACCAGGATAAGCAAAAAACTTCTTCGAAAGAAGAACCAAGTAGGCGGCCCTGCACGACCTGACCTACAAACCTCCCCTATGTGCACAGTACTCAAAATGGCCTGGTACCAGTACAACAAGAGTTATACAGACCAGTGGATTAGAACAGAAAACCCAGACAGAAATGCATCAGCTGACAAGCAACTAATCTTCAACAGAGGACCTAGAAATATCCAATGGGACAAAGACAACATCTTCAACTGATGTTGGACAGACTGGATTTCCATATGCAGAAGATGGAAGCAAGACTTCTCTCTCCCATGCACAAAAGCTAACTCAAGGTGGATTAAAGTTCTAAATGTAAACACTAGAGTTATAAGGATCATCGATGAAACAACTGGAGCAAACTTAAGGGCCTTATTGCGGTGCATTGCAGTGCATACATAGATTACCAAATATAAATAAGGAGGCACAAACAGCAGAGGACAAAAGAGATGAGTATCACATGCTGAAATTGCATCACTAATGCACATCAGTCAACTTCATTGGAAGAGTATAATGAGAGCGCACAGATTGGGAAACAATTTTTACCAATGACACATTGGACAATGCTCCCATTACCACAATATCCAGAACTCTACAGTTGTCAAAAGAAAATAACCAATGTCCCAATTAAGAAGTAAGAAAAAGACATGAATAGACAGTTCACCAAAAGTGAAATACAAATGGCTAACAAACACATGAAAATGCTCATGAGCACTAGCCATCCTGGAGATGCAAATTAAAAACACAATGAGATACCACCTTACACCCACAATGCCAGCCCAATTAAACCAGAAAATAACAAATGCTGGAGAAGCTGGGAAGAGAATGGAACTTGTATACACTGGTGGTTCACTTTAAATACATATAATCACTATGGAAAACAATATTCTGATGCTTACAACAACTGGGAATTGAAATAACACATGATCCAACAATACCACTATTAGGCATATACCCTCAAAGAAATAAGAGATATAACAAGAGTAGATGTATGCTCTCCCATGTTGGTAACAGTACAGGAAACCGGAAGGAGCCCAAATAACCAACAGTGGAAGAATGGATAAAGAAACTATGTTACATAGACACAATAGAATACTTGCATCCCTGAAAAACCATGATGAAAGTATAAAACACTGAATGGCATGGAAAGACCTGGAAGCCAATATGCTGAGTGAAGTTTGTCAATCACAAAAAGACAAACATTTTATGAGTCCACTACTATAAGAAGAAACACCAGTGAAACAAATCTTAGGGACCAATTCCCAAACAAAGGAGTAGAAAATCTACCCACCAGCCATGGACCATACATCAGCCCCCTAATGTGCACTCATAAGGACCACCTCAACAGAGGATAGCTCTCATCGTCTGGGGTCACTCTTTCATGAAGCGGGAAAGGAAGGAGACCATCCACTTGATGGTGTACAGTATTGAGAAAAGTCTGCAACAAATCAACTTCCTGGAAAATCAAGTTAAGAGCAGGGAGGGCACCGATATTTCTGATGTCTACACATCCCTTGGTGAACCATGCCATGGACTAAGCACTATGATGACCTTAGATGCTGACTTTACAGAAAACATGACATCCCCCAAGGGCCACACCAGAAGGAATCAACGGTCAAGCCTGACTGAACGAACTGGGCCCTACCTTAAAACTACCTGTAGCCATTGGAATTAGGACTAGAATTTCCTGATGGGAGAGGAAGCGAAGTATGGCCACCCCAAGACTGTGGATATGGCATTCATTAGACCTTGGATGGGACCCCTGGCTTAGTGGGCATCCAATGAAATGGGACCCAGAGCTACCATGTGTTTCGTATCTCAATGCTCTCTTTGCATTAATATGACAGGTATAGGCAAGAATCTACCCTCGTAAGAAATAGTACAGGGAATTTTCACCTAGCACCAACCCCCATGCTCAATGGAACAGAGTTCAATCAATTAAGAAATCAATCTGGACAAAGCAATGACTCCTGGATTGCACCTCACACTTGGACTGTACTCTAATAAACTCTTCATATCAATTGTATCTATGCCACAGGAAAAAGTATTGATGTTATCAATGCAATCACCTTATACCCCAACGGGATTATTGATAATGTTTTCCCTTTGGGGGGATGGGGATTGGGGGGCGGTATTTGCTTGGTTGTTGTTATTGTTGGTTTTGTGTTTGTGTTTGTTATCATATCACCCCCA